TTTTTTTTTTTTTTTTTTTTTTTTTTTTTTTGGGTACAAAGAAGGAGACCAAAGGCCTAAGACTTAGACACGAATATGTCGGGATACGATACCCCGATACTATCATGGTGAAGCCATTCTCCCACACTAGTAGGCGGCGACGAAAGCACATGGAGTCCAATCGGATAAGAATACGCCAGGCTCGCTAAATGGCCGGCTGCAAAATTCGCTTCGCGATGCACATGTCGAAGACTAACATTCCAGCCCCGTTGAAGCATTTGACGAGCTGCCTGAACTAATGCACCGTTCGTCCCAAAATCACTACCAGCGCCAAGGACCATTTGGAGCACACACTGGCTATCAATCTCCACAACAACATTACGAAACCCTTTGTCCAATGCGAGTTGGAGACCCTGCAAAAGACCCCATAATTCCGCGCCAGCAATAGTACAATAGCCAATATGCATGAGAAACCCCATAGACCACCTGCCCATTTCATCGCGAATAAGGCCACCCGCACAACTGAGCCCGGACTCCTTGTCAAAAGCCCCATCGGTGTTAACTTTAATCCATCCAGGATCCGGAGGGGACCAATAAATTAACCGAGACTCGTAGTGCTCCATATCAGCTCCTACCTGAGCAAAACAGCGCGAGGAATGAGAATATGACCTCAGCCGATTGAGCACATCCACATGTCGCGCCTCGCAACTAACAAAGCATCCCTTGAATACCCGATCGTTCCGCCACGCCCAAACTCGCCAAACCACGATAGCGAACAAACTAGCCCAGGACTTGTACACGCCCAACCGAGGCCTCGTGAGATTATGTGTAAACCACAGCCGCAGTGGGAACTTTTTAATTAATATAAAACATATTTCTTACCTGCAATTTCCATATTTAATGCTTATTGTTTATAGAAATTTTTAATTAATAAGGAAGCATAAATTTTTAATTAATAAGGAAGCATATTTCTGTTTTAATTTAACATCATTCTTTAACAAAACTAATTAGCAAAAATCTGAATATGTTAAGATTCTGATTTTTTGAAATATTGAATTATTATGAAATTAAATTTCGGTCTTGATTTTATAAAAAATCAAGTTAATTCCTTAATTAAAAAAATTAGCATTCCAACTAGCTAAAAATTCCCTTTTCAGTTCGAAATACTTCGTTTGTTCTTTTTTTTAGAAAAGAATTGTTGAGAAATCAATCAATATTTAAAATACTTTTGTTTGAAATATGCAGGCCAATATATTGGTTTTTTGGCATGGGTCACAATTTTAATTTCAACTTTTTATATGAAATTAACGTAATGAAATTAAAGTAACTTCGACAAAATATTATAAACGAATTCTTTGATATAATGTGCGTGTCTCGATATTTTTTTTATGTAGAAAATCCTCTGGTCAATTTTTATTTGTATAATCAGTGGGTCTCGATTTAATCATTTTTTTGTAACGACATTTCTATAAGGAAGTTTTTAATGATATATAATATTATTTTTTTATTCTATTTATTAATTTTTTTTATTCAAAAATATAATTATAAGATTGGATAAATAGTCGTCAAAATGGCCACCTCGTGCATCGCACGGGATTTGCACTAATAAACATTAAAGAAAATGGATTTAATTCTCATGACATGCAGCAATTTAGGGCCGGACTTCACAAGCCGTGAATTTAACAGGCCAAATTAATACACGCATGTACAAGTTTCACTTGATCCTTCTTTCTCCTTTCTAGTGAAGCCCACAACTGTTAATCGTTGTAATCTTTGATAACCAGGGTTGGGTTGCCCCAGCATCAAATAGCGCCTTCTCGGGCTTCCTTGTGGCTAAAGCTAACGACTTAGGTTGGAGCTCATGCTCGTTTTGTCAATTGGCCCAGAACTCTACCCAAATATAT